GTATTTTCTATATTGTGATTTATCTTATAACCAGGGAAAGGGATATCTCTCACTGGCCATTGTTTGACCCCAATTATTTCTTGGCCACCAGCTAGTATTGTGACGGACGCGGGCTTGCTGCCACCAATATGCAACGATCCCACAATCGCTGTCACCAATATGTGACGACCGAAGCGTCAGACCCCAGCCCTTCTCACCAAACTCGTGACCTTAGGACTAGCCAATCTAAAACCATGCACGATTTTCCAGCTAATTGGCCCACAATCGATGTACCGGCAGCCTGAGTGATTCTTACTGGGTCAGGTTAATTACGCAATTAACCCTTCACACTGCCACCGCCTCCTTTTTTGTACAGAGAAAGAGGAAACTCGGTGATATCCGCCATAACACTATAATGGTTGAGGGTAATTGTCTGTATAACACGGTCACCGCAGGCCGGGGTTAAACAAACACAGTAGCGTCTCTTTTAGAGGAAGGAATTTGTAAATTGCAATTAAGAGCTATAGTAACAGTTCAACACTTTCAGAAGGAAAGATTTATTACCTAAAGGTCAAACGGGTGCAATAAAAATATATACAGAAAATATGTAACTAAGATATATATATAAATATACAGAGACCAACAGCAAAGCAAAGAGATATCAGAGAGAGGTGAAAGGGTTATGGTACTTCCTGGTTAGCAGATCCAAGTTTCTGAGCGAAAGGGCACGAGTCTCCCCAGGTGGTACTGATGTTGAAAAGGGAGACGTCTTCAACTTACTCTCTTAGGCCTGACAGCCCAATTTTTAGTTCCCCAGCAGGGGGTATCTCTGAAGTCAAGGACCAATACCCCGTTTAGGGCGTGGAGGTCTGGGCGTAGCCCTAAACTAGAACCAAAATCTCGTGTAGTTCATATTTTGGCTCATAACTTTTCCTATGCACAAGTGACACTCCACCCGCGTGTAGATTATTATGCAGACACGTCTGAAGATTGATTAGATATGAATTATGAAATTATACACTGAATGGTTCACAAGATCTACTTTTCTGCTTTCCTATGTATTCGAGACAAGGCGAGTGACCTACCAAACTGTTTGCCTCCTCTTGGCCAATCTGACGGTATGCCTGGTTTTTATGTAAGTCTCTCATATTCCAAGACATAGGGGAAAAAATGGATTGTCAAGAAGGTTATCTGGTTCAATGTCTTTTGAACTCCTGGGAAGGCTGCGTTATCTTTTTACAACGTGTTAAATTGCACAGGTTCTTTGGACAGAGAGGCCCCAGCTCCCTTGTGGACTTTATAGCTCCTAGCCCCATGCTGGGCCCTGGCCTCCTGTGACACTCCTAACACACATACACACACTGGCCAAATGTAGCTATGACTCTCAGAGAGGGAGGGGGATAATGATGGGTAAATATGTTTGTCAGGATGGCTAACCCCTTTGCCAAGATGGAGGTTGAAGCCAAAATGGTTGAACCGCGTCCATCTCTGTGTGTACGCTTGCTACAAGTATATGTGGTGGCTCTGATACGGCTATATTGTAATCTAGTACAGAATCTAAAGGCTCCACTGTTCATTCTCTATAGAAACTATTTGTAATATAAAAAGTGTAAACCTATTTCTAGAACTTGTTGGTTATAATTAAAAAGCTAACCTCTGAATTTTCCATAATTTACGATAGTCCTGAAAAAAAATTTACACATGTGCATAATTGGGCTTTCCTTGTGTGTTGTGTTGCATACATGTTTGAGCGTGTTTTTACATGCTTTGCTAAGAGAGATCAACATTATTTGTTTAACGTGTCATTACATTTATTTCAGTGGGCCCTAACATGCCCTAGCATGCATTTATCATATACAGTAGATAAGCATTGGGCTTTATTGCACTTGTACTAACATAGTTGAGTATGTTAATAAGGAGAACAACACGTGCATGTAATTTCATAGGAATCCCAAATAATACAACTAAATTCATATTTTGGTGTCCATTGTTGGTTTCTATGAGGCACAGGTTCTCAGAGCTGATAGCATTCTCTGCCCAGGTTGGTATTGCTCATTATAATGCCTAATCCATGTGTGGGCTGCTTAATGTGTTCCAGTTGTATCTTGTGTCCATTATCTGTCACCAAAGCATAGTCATATGTCTTCCCCTCCTGTAGACCAAAGGTCATCTGAAAGACTTGTTAAGACAAATTTCTAAAAGCGATACACTTTAGTATCCTATTATCTCTAGCTAAACAAGCTTGGCATATCTTCATCACAAAATCCAAATAAAATTAGATAAGTGTTTGATTCATTGTGATCTTGTATTATGGATTTTATTTTTGAAGCCATTATGTAGGCATTTCTTTTCCTTCAGTAGGGTTTTCTATACTGATGTCTTCAAACAATAGCTGGTTGGATCCTTGCTTGGCTTTTTTTTTTTTTTTTACTTTAACATCTCTGAGCTGATTCTGATCTAGAGCAGTTGGAAAACCAGTGTCTCAAGCAGGAAAAGGTACTTGATATCATGCTGGAATTTTTCGTTTTGCGAAAACATCGCTATATACAGAGCCAAGCCTTCATCTTTCTAGAAAGGAGAGTGAAGAATACAAAGTAATGTGTATGTTGAATGAGGATCACTGCAGATCTGTAGCTTTGTAAGCCCCTGTGGAGACGTCTCTTTTATGAAGAGATTTCCCAGTCTAAAGCTGATCATTCACGTGTAGATTTTCAGACGAGAATATTTGTAAGAAAATCGTACGAAAATTCTAGGAACATTCGATGAATGGACGAATGTCGTTTGAAAATTGTCTTTTGCTTTTAACATTCGATTTTAAAATGAATGTAATTTGTTTGATCAAGAAAAGTTTTCCTTCGAATTTTCCCATCACTGCTGTCCAAAACGAACATCAGTTTGACCGCACTAACGATTAGAAAATCATATGAAAATTCTCGAATGAAAATCTATAACTGTATGGACAGCTTTAGACCCCATCTTAAAGGTAGATAGAAGGTTCAGCAAGTCATGGCAATTACAAAATAAATGGGTATCTCACTGGTGAACAACTGAGATACAGTTATTGGATTATATTGCAGTCACAGAACCTTGGAGCTCTGTAGATTGGATGTATAAGCCAAATAGGGAAGGCCAATTTGTGGTCATAGTAAAACTTGCAGCTAATTGTTGCTGATAATATCAATAGTGTAATGAATACCTAATAGTCATTTTAACCGTTGCCCGTCAGCCTTATAGCAGAAGTACTGCTACAGGGCGGCACAGGTGCGCAAAATCGTGTGTGTGTATATATATATATAGAGAGAGAGAGAGAGAGAGAGAGAGTTGTGTTCAAAATAATAGCAGTCAGACATCACTAACCTGATCAATCACTGTTCTTGGTAGAAATGATATTTCTACGTGGCAAATAATTTACTAGCAGGTATAGTAGAGTAATAGAAATCCAAGAGACCCAACAGTCATGACATGCATGCTGCTGATTCTGTGTAATTGAATCACTAATTGAAAGGGGCATGTTCAAAATAATAGCAGTGTGGAGTTCTACTAGTGAGGTCATTCATTCTTTGAAAAACAGGTGGCAATTATTGCCCTTATTTAAGGAAGAAAGGCAGCATATGTTGTACATGGTGGTTACAGTGCATTTCTCTCTGAAATTCTGAGGAAAATGGGTCGTTCCAGACATTGTTCAGAAGAACAACGTATCTTGATTAAAAAGTTGATTGGAAAGGGAAAAACATATAAAGAAGTGCAGAAAATGATAGGCTGCTCAGCTAAAATGATTGCAAATGCTTTAAAATGGCAACCAAAACCTGAAAGATGTGGAAGAAAGCGAAAAAACTACCATTCAAATGGATAGAAGAATAGCCAAAATAGCAAGGACTCAGCCAACAATCAGCTCCTGGAAGATCAAAGAAGGTGTAAAGTTACCTGTGAGTACTGTTACAATTAGAAGACGCCTATGTGAAGCCAAGCTATCTGCAAGAAGCCCCTGCAAAGTCCCACTGTTGAAAAAAAAGACATGTGCTGAAGAGGTTACAATTTGCCAAAGAGCACATTGACTGGCCTAAAGAGGAATGGTGCAACATTTTGTGGACTGATGAAAGTAAGATTGTTCTTTTTGGGTCTAGTGGCCGGAGACAGTTTGTCAGACGACCCCCAAACACTGAATTCAAGCCACAGTACACCGTGAAGACAGTGAAGCATGGTTGACCAAGCATCATGATATGGGGATGTTTCTCATACTATGGTGTTGGGCCTATTTATCGCATACCAGGGATCATGGATCAGTTTGAATACATCAGAATACTTGAAGAGGTCATGCTGCCTTATGCTGAGGAGGAAATGCCCTTGAAATGGGTGTTCCAACAAGACAACGACCCCAAACACTCCAGTAAATGTGCAACATCTTGGTTCCAGACCAACAAGACTGACGTTATGGAGTGGCCAGCCTAATCCCCGGATCTTAATCCAATAGAAAACTTGTGGGGTGACATCAAAAATGCAGTTTCTGAGGCAAAAACCAAGAAATAGAGAAGAACTGTGGAATGTAGTCCAATCATCCTGGGCTGGAATACCTGTTCACAGGTGCCAGAAGTTGGTTGACTCCATGCAACACAGATGTACAGCAGTTCTCAGAAACAGTGCTTATACAACTAAATATTCATTAAGTGATTCAAAGGAAAGCAAAATCTTCAAACATTTTTCAGTTTATATAGTGAATGTTTGAGTTTGTAAAGAAGAATACAAACACTGCTATTTTTTGAACAGTCTAATATTCACTTTTCTTCCATTTTGTTTTAGAGGAACAACACAAATTTGATATATTTTTCTTCATGTTTTGATTTGGAATAGAATGTGTAGTGTTCCCAATGCATTTGTGTGTATGGAAATAAAAGCTATTAGAAGGATTTTGAGCTTTATTCACTTTGTTTCAACACACTGCTATTATTTTGAACACAACTGTGTATGTATATATATATATATATATATATATATATATATATATATGTGTGTGTGTGTGTGTGTGATTTTGCATTTCCGGGTAAGGGGCGTGCGCCCTTCCCGCGCTGCCATTCATGGCCTCGGCTGTCAATCACTAGGTCCCGGCAGGTGATTACTCGCCGATGCCTGGTGATTGCTGAGCATCTCTGATGGGAGGGTGGGGAGAACTGTTTGTAAACAAAACAGTTCTCTCCCTTTCTATCTCCTGCACACTGCTTTGCATGGCTGTGCATAGCAGAGCCATGCAAAGCAGTGTGCTTACAGTAAAGCACACATGCAGCACACAGTAAAACAGCACACAGTTAACCCTTTGATCACCCCAGATGTTAACCCCTTCCTGCCCCTGCCATTAGTACAGTGTCAGTGCTTTTTATTAGCACTGATCACTGTATTGGTGTCACTGGGGATGTCAGTGACACCATGTCAGTTCCCCCCAGTGTCAGAATGCCCACCGCAGTCCCAAAATACCTCTCTGATAGCTGCCATTACTAGTAAAAATTAAAAAAAAAATCCCAGTATATGTACCGCCATTTGTAAATGCTTTAACTTTCACGTAAACCAATTAATTTACATGTATTGGGATTTTTTTTAAGCAAAGACATTAGCAGAATGCATTTTGGCCTAAATGTATGACAAATTTGATCTTTAAAATTTTTTTACTGGACATGTTTAATAGCAAAGTCAAGAATATAGGTTTTTTTTCTCAAAATTGTTGGTCATTTTTTTTCTATAGCGCAAAATATAAGATGCACAGGTAATCACATACCACCGAAAGAAAGCTAAACTCGTGGGAAAAAAAAGGACTAAATTCCACTTGGGTGCAGCATTGCATGACTGCGCAATTGTCAGTTAAAGTAACGCCGTGTAGTATCGCAAAAAATGGCCTGGTCAGGAAGGGGGGTAAATCCTCAGGAGGGCAAGTGGTTAAAACCCAACATCTTTAGAATGTGAACTAGATTTAAGCAACACTATTGCATGGTTATCGCTTGTTTTTTATATTATCTTTTAGAATGTCTTTCTTGTATCTAACTTGTGTAACTGATCAGTTTTTGCGTTGTTGCACTAGGTACTGTCTGATTAAAAAATACACAATTCAATGGTTTTAGGACTGGTGTATCTCTGTTGCATGCACTTTATTTACTAATTTGATAGTTTTGTACTTGAATCCAGAATGAATTGACATTTATAGCAATCATGAAGTTAAAAGGGGGTTGAAGAAAACTTAAAAAATGCAGAGGAAAAATTGGTTTAACTGTGATCATTATCGAACTATGGGTGGTATTAGTAAAAGAACTGGTATTTTAGGACTTCTTGTCAAATTCTAAATGGTTTTCTTGTGCTCATTTGAGGTGGTTTATTGCATTTGTTTTTGGTTTCCCAATTTAATGATAGTAAGGCAATGGGCATTCAAAGAAATGTATGGCAATGTATGGGACAATTAGCACTGGTGGTAAATAACAGAACTTTGGATTAATATATAGGACAACCTTTTACAAAGCTATGCATAGTCTAGTGTCAGATGATAGTAGCAATCACTAGGGTATGTTTTAACATCTCTTCTCTGAATATCTCTGCTTTCAAACATAGTAAAGTGACGCTCCATAGTAACTATAGTGGTCCATCGAGTCTGTCCATTTTTTTTTGTTTTACATGTTTTTTTATTTTATTTTTAGAAAAAAAAATTTTCTTTGTAACTTTTTTTTTTTCTTCATTTTTTGATTGAAAGTACTTTGTTACAATACACATAAACGAACAACAAACTTGAAAAGGCACAGTTAACGTTATAAATTTTTTTTTTTTCCAGAGTATAGGTCTATGTTTTTCCCAAGCATTTCTGAATCAACTTACTGTTGACTGACTCACTACCTAATTCATGCAACAATGCTTTAAATGAAAAGAGAAATCGGTTTTCGATCATTAATTTAAAAAAAAAGAGAAATGCATGGTAGAAACATAGAAAAGTGACAGCTGAAATAAGACAAGTGGTCTATCGAGTCTGACTTTTTTATACATGTTTTGCAAAAGTTTGTTTCCCCAAATCTAGATCTATACCAGGCATGTTTGAATCCACTTACTACCTCTGCTGGAAGTCTATCCCAAGCATCAACTACTCTTTCAGTAAAATAATACTTCCTTAGATTAGTTTTGAACTTTCCTCATGCTAGCTTGAGGTCATGTCCCCATGTTCTTGATCTTGGTTTCATATTGAAAATTCTGCCCTCCTGAACCTTATTCGCCCCCTTGATGAATTTAAAGGTTTCAATCATGTCTCCCCTTTCCCTTCTTTCCACCAGACTGTACATGTTAAGTTCTGAAGTCTCTCCTGATGTGTTTTATCTCCCAGACCTTTCACCATTTTTGTTACCTGTCTCTGGACTTGTTCTATCTTCTCAATAGGTTTTTGTATGTGAGGTCTCCAGAACTAGATTTAGTATTCTAAGTGAGGTCTAACTAAAGATCTATATTTTAGGGGCTTTGCTGTTCTTTTTGAGGCTGCTATTGCTTTTATTAGACATTGACTTTGAGGCCAAAATGTTGGAAGAGGAATGAATGGAGAGGATGCTTTTAGGATCTATCGAGATGGAGGGAAAAAGCGTACATATTTGGTTGCTTTGTGGATTAAGTGAGATCCAGAACTCTCAGGCAGTATAAATGAGTGGTAGTCATGGTAAGAATGATTAGCATTTGAGTAGTGTAGAGATGCTCAGACAATGTAAGGCCTCCTTCACTCCATGGTGCAGAGACATCAGGTTTTTCTGCATGTGTTCTGCAAGGACACAACAAAACAAATTGTTCTTTATGTGACCTGTTCACACCACAACACTGGTATCACGTGCAGATTTTTTCTGCACAGAAATCTGCCATGTGTATTAAACTCATGGAAGCGCGTATGAAAACTGATGCAAGTGAAATCTGTGCGTCAGTTTTCATGCATGTATGGTGTGAACGAGCCCTCAGCCTGGGTGCGGTATATCGCAGGTGATTCGCGCAGGAACTGCACCACATTCCTCTGCAAATCACATGCAATTTGTGTGCGGTGCAATTGAAGCCATACATTTTGTATGGCTCTAATCGCACCATGCCCGCACCAAAAAGGTGCAGGACCCTTTTTGGATCCACACTAGAATCTCATGGGTATTCACACCTATGCGATCCGATTCTGCACATCGCACTGCGTTTTGCGGACCGCTATCGGGGTGTTGTTAACGTAACATACACACCCGCAGCAGTTCGCACGAATGGGGTGCGATTCTGATGCGGTGTGGAATTCGCACTGAAAATGCTACGAATTGCACACCGCATCAGTGTAAACCAGGGCTCAAGGTTGTAATAGTGGAGATTATCTGGTTACGGTTTATGAAATGCTGATCTAGACAAAGCTTTGTTCATTTTACCCATTATGAGGTCAGAACTTCTTTTGACAGCACAGATCTACAGGAGAAATATATGCCTCAATGCTCTAGTTTTTCCTGCTTGTCATTTAATTGCCAAAACATTACCTTTTGTACTAGATGTACTTGATTTTTGCATGATAGATGTACTACGTTTTTACATTTAACATGGTCTGTTTAGATTTCTGCTCTCTGGGCTGGCTCAGTTCTGCAGGCCCATGCTGTTTGCCTGATATCTTTCTGCTTCTACAAAAAAAAAAAAAACCCAGGAAGTTGCCATGGCAACCAATCCAAATGACAAGGGTGGGGGAGGCGAGATGCATTCAACCTGCTGAGGAGCAAAAACATAAAGACCTAGTCAGTCAGGAGAGAGGAAGCGGAAATCAGAACGTTACAAATCTTGCTGGAGAAGAAGCGTTTCTATTAAGCCTCTCATTGGTGAAAGCAGTACTGTGTGTGTTGCTCTGGCAACCAGTCATATTCCAGCTATTTGACTTATTTTCAGTAGGAAATTTAGAGAGAACCCGGTTGCTATGTAGAAAACCGTTTTACTTTCACACAACCAATCTAAGCAGTTGGCGAGATATTAGGTGTAGGCCTTCACAAATTCTTCTACACACATTGTCAATAAAAATCCTTGTTTTAAGAAAAAAATGTGTGAGTGGAAACGTGAAAAGAAAAACAATGGCTGTTTAATGACTGACCCACTGTTAGCTTTACTATTTGAAGTGATACTGAAAGTCATTTCTTTTAAAGTGTTACTGAACCCACAACAGTAAAATCAGCCTGTATATGCAGTAAAGCATGCTTGTTATACTCACTATGGAACCTAAGGGGTTAATCCTCTGCATTGTGTAAAAAGGATGTTTGATTCTGACTTCTCTGATCCTCCCCTTCTTCTACTGCCCCCCATCCATCTGCTAATAGAATAGAGACTTGAGGACAAGCTGCACATGCTCAGTTTTGTGTCTTAGAGAGTTTTTTTTTTGCCTTGGGAGAGTGCATGTGATCAGCACAGGGCCAATCAGCCAATCAGGGTCAGGTGTTATGCAGCCTCATTGGATAATCAGGGGAGAATAAAAAAAGCTGTAACCAATGCTCAGCTGGACACTGATAGAAGTCACAAGACTGCTCTTAACTGCTGATGAGAAAAAGTGTTTATATTTACTAAAATTATTGCATTTCCATGTTGTGTGCACTGTGGGAGATCAGATATAGTGAATGCAGGGTCCTGGGTTTAGTAACACTTTAACTGCTTCCCATCTGCCCTATAGTAAATACCGTATACTGCTATAGGGCGGCACAGATGCACAAAATCACTTATATGTACGTCATTTTGCATTTCCGGGTAGGGGGCACGTGCTCGCTCTACCCGCACCGCCAATCACGGCTGAAGCTGTCAATAACCGGGTCCCCAACAGTGATTACTCGACAGCGCCTGGTGTTTACCAAGCAGCACAGTGGTTAAATGGTTAGCACTTCCGCCTGGCAGTACTAGGGTCGTTGGTTTGAATCCCAGCCACAGCACCTCCTGCCTGGAGTTTGCATGTTCTCCCTGTGCCTGCGTGGGATTCCTCCGGGTACTCTGGTTTCCTCCCACACTCCAAAGACATACTGGTAGGTGAATTGTCTCCTGTCTAAATTGGCCCTAGTATGTATATGTATGAATGTAAGTTAGGGACCTTAGATTGTACGCCCCTTGAGGGTTAGGGACTGATGTAAATGTACAATATATATGTATAGCACTGCGTAAATTGACGGTGCTATATAAGTATCTGAAATAAATTTTAAAAAATCTCAGTCGAGGAGAACTGTTTTAAACAAAATGGTTCTCTTCCCTGTCAGCTCATGCACACTGCTTTGCATGGCTGTGCACAACACAGCCATGCAAAGCAGTGTGCTTACAGTGAAGCACACACCCAGCACTTAGTAAACCCTTTGATCGCCCCTCATGTTGACCCCTTCCTGTCCAGTGCCATTAGTACATTGATTGCTTTATTGATGTCACTGGGGATGTCAATGACACCAAGTCAGTTCCCCTCAATGTCAGAATGCCCACCGCAGTCCCACTATA